AAACATTGCTAAGCACTGCCCTGGTGCCAGGGTACCCAGCCCTGGCCACAGGCTCCAGATCTCTCCTCTTCCTCCCCAGAGTCACACTTGCACAACTGCAGCCTCCTGAAGACAGCACTACAATCACAGAGCTCTATAGCCGCACATCTTTTCTTCATTTCACTAACGTTTTAAGCATCTTCCCCTTTCCCACCAGCACAGAGCAGAGGAGGGGAGGTTACAGGCCAGCCTCTGCCCTTGGATAAAGCAACAACCACTCCAAAACCTCAGGGCCAGCTCTAACCCTCTGCTAAGCTGGAAAGGTTGCACCCCTACTCTTCACAGCTCTGCAGCCCCTCTGCACTTCCAGGATGGTCAGATGTCCACGAGATTCCTGCAGAAGCAGTGTGTGGCAACCTCCATACATGCATGCAGCTGCTGCTGTGTGCAGGGAGGCTGCCACACACTACTTCTACCATAGCTTTTTTGGTTCTGGTAGGAAATCCAGGGCAAATTGGGAACTGGAGCTCTATGGGGCAGTAACTTCTGGTGCAACTGTCAGGTCAGCAGCCACAGCACAGCAGTGCCAGGTGGGGAGAAGGACACCTTCCCAAAGAGTAGCTCAGATGAGCCAGTTGCAGGTCTGGATATCTGAGGCTTGTTTCAACTCAGTTCAAACCACTCCAGTCTCAAAATCAACTTGTAAGCTATTCTATTTGCACATGTACTTCTTTTGACAACCAATAAATAATAAGGAAAAGGCTAATATTATCATTATTTCAGCTTCAGAGGGGTGAATAATCAGCTTTGCAAGGAATGCAAGCTTGGCTGACTGCTGAGGGCTTTGCAGAGATACCCATCTCCCTTTAATTGCCCTTTAATCAGGGCAACTAAGATGATTAAGGGAGTGGAGCATCTCCCTTATGAGGAAAGACTGAGGGAGCTGGGTCTCTATAGTTTGGAGAAGAGGAGATTGAGGGGTCACCTTATTAGTGTATATGAATACATAAAGGGGGAGTGTCACGAGGATGGAGCCAGGCTCTTCTTAGTGGCAAACAATGATAGGACAAGGGGCAATGGGTGCAAACTGGAACACAAGAGGTTCCACTTAAACTTGAGAAGAAAATTCTTCTCAGTGAGGGTGACAGAACACTGGAACAGGCTGCCCAGGGAGGTTGTGGAGTCTCCTTCTCTGGAGACATTCAAAACCCGCCTGGACGCATTCTTGTGTAACCTTATCTTAGTGTTTCTGCTCCGGCAGGGGGATTGGACTAGATGATCTTTTGAGGTCCCTTCCAATCTCTAGCATACTGTAATACTGTGATCTCTGTAGGCTGAGCTGGTGAAATTTAACTGCCCCTTGCATCCAGCCTGGTTAGCAACCCTAGCACACAGTGCCCAGGGAGGGTCAAAAGCCAGATCAGCAGGGGAACAGGCAGCTAACCCAGACACACTCCAAATTCCCAACATTTGGCTCAGATCTGAATGAATTACTTAGAGACCAATCAGAGAAGTCACAGAAACTCATCAGACTTAGACTCTCAGCATCTCCCTCCCACTCCCAGCAGATGCCTGCTCTCTGAAGCACAACTCACCAACTTGATGTCTTTCCCCTACAAAAAAAAACCACCTTTCCCCACCCCTACTTTAATAGCCTGTACCAATTAGCCCTCGTTAGCCCCTGAGCTCCTTCTGACCATCACCCCTGCTTTGCAGCTGGGTGTTTTCCCTACTGAGCCCAGCTCTTTTTGTGCCCTGCAAAAGTGGTAGGATTCAGCCCTTTCCTCCTGCTGACTCCTCCCTGCTGGTTACCCACATAGGGATGCCCAGCCCTCCCTTCTTTTCTTCCTGAGTGAATACCCTCCCTGGACCCTTCCTGCCCTGCTTTCAGAGCCGTGCTGGAGTCTGGCCAGCCTGGTGGGGTGTAGGAACTTAGGGGCAAAGCCACAGGTGTGTCTGGCCTCTTCCTGAAAACCACCTCATTTGGAAGTCTTTGTGGATGCTTCCTGCCTTACGCTCCTGCTGAACTCATTTGCAGCTGCCTCTGTTGACAGAAGGATCCTGTGGGTCAGACAGGGTCTGGACCTAGCGTCCATCTCTGCCTGGCTCACTGGCTGGCTTGCACAGATCATGCTGCAGAGGGGTCCCCATCTCGCTGGGGTGTCTCTGCATTCCTCCAACTGTCTGCATGGCGCTACCAAGATAAGTCTGCTGGGCAGGCAGCCCCAAGCCCTGCTCCACTTGCCCCAAGCAAAGCTCCAGCATGTTCCCAGCCCCAGTCAGTGCTATAGGACATCTCAGGGCAGCAACACATGACACATGTGTGACAGCTTATGGAAAGCACTGGGGCGTTTTTTCCCCCTTTTATTGAAAATGATAATTTCTATTCTAGTGCAAACACTGTACATTTTACATCACAAAGCAAGGGATAATTTACAGGATACACTTCCATCTGGGAATACCTCCCATGGCTTCACGTGTCAAGCTCCACCAGCCCATCAATCATCCATCCCTGTCATGCTCAAAAATCCTACTTAGAGGGAATCAGCCACACATTTCTGGGGAGGGGAGGGTAAGAGGGCTGAGAAAGCAGCACTCTTACACAGCAGCCATGAGAAATGTGCCTCAAGATATTTTTCTCCCCTGAATGGTACCTAAACTCAGTGATAACCACGGTAACCATCTCAACTTCATGGAGCTGCAACTGAAAGCGTTAAAACCCTGGAGAACTCCATGCTTTCAGGACAAGGTCCTTAATTGGCACATATATTTACATGGTTTGATAAAATACAGATAAAACATATAGTCACAAAATTTTGCTTTGGCTTGATAGACATTGACCTTGTTGAGGTCAGCAGAAATGAAGAAACAAACAACAAAACCTGTCCATTCACCCAGCTGGACTCAGCTCAGCAAATCCATGTAAGCAAAGCAATATTCTCTTGGATGCTCTGGCTTACATCTTGATGTCGCCCAGCTCAAAGGTGGTGTAAAGCTCTCATCTGGACTGACAACAATCGAGTCAGCTGTGATGGCATTCCCAACCAGGGAGCCCAACTAAAACTGGAAGTGCAAAAGCTTACACAAGCTTCCTGCAGGAGCAGCCCCATGCAAATCAGTTCAATTCCTCACACAAATAAAGTGAGGAGGGTGAAGAAAGGTTTGCACAGGCATGTATGTGAGCCCCTCCATGTAAGCATCACAGGGTGGGGGTGGGGATTGATATCTCTGTCCACAGATGAATAATGGGAGACCAGGAGCTCCATGCTCTCTGAGCCATCTCTTTGCTAACTTCAGAAACAGATGCCTGAACACAGACACCAAGGAAAGTTGCTCAAGGTGATTTTAATGCTGCAGAAAAGGTGAGCAAAGACTAGGGGAAAGCCACTGGCCACCAAGATGCTGAAGGAAACAGCTGAAACATCCAGGGTGGAAACTCAGGCACTGAAACTCAGAAAACACTGGCCACCACATGGGAGTTTGTTCTGGCTGCCATCACTGCTGTGATGTTGGTGTTCGCAGAGGAGGGCAGCAAGGCAAAGAGGAGAAAGCACCAGGCTAAGGCACTCATCAGCCTCTGAATAATGTTACATTGCACTGGGTCATTTTTCTTTCTGATTGTACAGGACATGTTCTTCCATAGTCTTCTCTGTTTGTGTAGACACAGAAACCAAGTGTGAGTTCCTAAGTGAAGGCTGAGTTTTCCAACATGATCACTTGGCTCTAGGAGCTGGAACCACACTACTCATGATAGAAATATTTTGGTTTAGAGACTTTAGAGGCATTAGCTTCTCCAGACTATGGAAGGCCAAAAAAAGGGATTAAACAGAACATTATGGATTTCATAAAATGTAGTGCTTGCCCAGCCTCACTTCCCTTGCTGGTGTTCTGTCTGCAAGTGCGATGCATGATCTTTAGCTTTTTGTCCTGATCACAATTAAATTTATTTCCTCCCCTCCCCAAATATCCATACAGGGAGAAAAAAACCAACAACCCAACAACAAGCCAGGAGCAACACACAGTCACAAATCTAACTTACACTAGTTTGGGTTTGGGACTTTTTTCCCAGTGTTAGCTCAAATACTTTGGCTGGATTTCCATTTATTCTCTGCCAGTTTAATTTTCACCTTCACTTTAAAGAGATTTATTTCTCATTTCCTGCAACGTGCTGGTTTAGCCTATCAAAGCCCACTCACAGACATCTCCACATGCACAGTGTGTCTGCAGGAAACAGCAAGATGGAAAACTAAGCCACTCTACCAGAAGTATCCTTCGTGACTGCCCTTCATTATCCTTCTCCTATGGTCCAGCCTGGACCACAGAGTAGCTCTGCTGCCTTCAGTGGGACTGTTCAATGGCAAGGTCCTATTCAATCTGGGCAGGTCTCCTGTACAAGCACTGTTTGCAATAAATATGTCCAATTATCCCCCCAGATTTGAAAGAGGCAGGCATCACCAGCAACATGAAAGATCCTAATTTCCTCAGGGTGCTTGAAAAGAACAAACCTCTTTTGGGTTGCACTGGGTCTATTCTTTATGGAAAGAAGGAAATTGGCTCCTAATCAGCTCTTCAGACTCCAGAGGGAGAACAGCAGGTAAGGAGAGCAAACGACAGTGGTTAAGACTATAGGACAAGTCATAGTGGGCAGTGTTATGGAAACTGGAGGGAAATACGGTCTTCATGTGGGATGCTCCCTGCCGAGACATCACCTGTCCTCAGAGGGGCTGGCTGAGACTTTCCATGGGGATGGCCTTGAGTGTTCTCAAGAGCCACACAAACCTAACCAACTGGAAAGGAGATCCTTGTCTTATTCTAAAGCTGCAAATTTCCATGGGGAAAATCTGCAAAGGACCATGGCTCCCTCCAATGCCACATCTTTGGAGTTTCTCATGGGAAGACGTGAGGTGGCCATTTCAAGTGCTGATCAAGGCTACAGAGAAGAATCCTGACAAGGGTGGGAGTCTGCAGCTGGAATTCCAATGCACAGCTCCAGGAACCTGGATGCAGCACAAACATCCCAGACATTTTCAATGGATTTTATTTTGTTTAATAAAAAACACCAACCAAGCTTGCATGTATTATCTTATATATATAAATATATACAGTATATATAAAACAAATGCATCTGGACAACGCCTTTCCCTGTGGCGCAAACTGTAAGGCATAGAAAGGATTGTCCTAACAGTCCTATTCTTGGCACTACAGAGCGATCCCTCCAGAAGGCCCCCCTCCCCCCCACCTCACACCCATGTTGGCTTTTCTCTCTTCTTTGGCTTTTTGAGGAAGCAGTGCTGGGAATACTCAAGGAAGCAATGAAGCGCTGCAAAGCCTAAGGAGGTCTTCCTCATGTATCAAACTGGTCCAGGTAACCTGGGTAGGATGACCCCATCTCGTTGCACTAATGGGTTTCTTGCAGACTAATGGTAACGGTGCTGCTTCTGTGGCACAGGGGACTGGAGGGATGGAGGGTCAGGTGGGTACAACAGAAAGCTGTGACCAAAGAAACTTCTAGGGTGAGCTGGGGCAGGGGGGGAAGCTTTGTATCTCAGCATGATGGTGGGTGGGATATGTCCATGAGCTGAGATCAGCAGAGGTTTTTTTTTGCTGTCCCATACAAAAATGGAAACCAACAAGGGTGAGACTGTCCTTTACTGAAGAAGCTCGTAGTATATTGAGCAGAAGCAATAAACCTGACAATTACAAGAAAAATAAAAGTGGTGGCATTATCCCAAAAGGAAGGAGGAACCTTGTTACTCATGAGCGGTTCAGTTTGCTCCCAGTTTGGTCCCCATGTCAGTTCTGGGTTAGGGTTGACTTTTTTTAATCTTTTTCTTTTTTTTTTCTTTCTTTTTTTTTTTTTTTTTGGTGTGTGTGGTTTTTTGTTGTGTTTTGTTTTTTTTTTTCTTTTAGCACAGAGAAGTTGCAAAGCAGGACGGGTGCTGTTGTATTTTCTCCTTTTGCAAGGCAGATGCCTCCAGTCATTAATTGACTGTGGGCACTTGATTCCTCTGTAAACTATATTCCTTTGCCTTCAGTCTCAGGTTGGCAATACTGTTGGCCATATTCATACCCTGTGCCGGGCTGGCATTGGTACACGTGGCGGAGTAAGTGGCCATGGCACTGTGGGATAGAAAGAGAGAAACATCATGTCAGATTGGTCTTCACACCACGCAGAGAGCAGACATGCACCACAGTGAGGTTAAACCCTGGGGTTTCTGTACCTGCAGGATGTGAGCAGGGAATGATCACTACTTTTTATTTAGCACCCCTGTAAATCTCTCCACTGCAGTTCACTTACCCAGCGATAGCCAATGCCAAAGCTGGTTGAAGTCAACAGGAAAATTTCCATTTCCTATTTTCTAACCCAAAAGGTTTACAACAAGGTCAGGGCTCCCAGCCTCTCAGTCAGTCCATTGTCCTTATAAGTATTCCTACTGGAGGCAATGTCTTTTTGATGAGAGCAATTGCTGGTTTTATTGCTTGTGAAATCACGTCACTTCTGAAACACATGTTGCATTAAAGAAACGCTCTGGGAAAAACCCCTTTCAACAATTGTGATGCTTTTTGGTTTCAGCCTTTTGGAATGAAAATTTCCACATTTTTTTCCTTCAAAACTTCAGCTGATCATAAAGAACATGCCCTAAAGGCTGAAGGAAAAAAGAAAAACCAAAACATATTTTCTCCCTTCAGATCATGACTTTATTCATTGAAAACATTACTTTTGCCAGTGGAGGCTGAACAAAGATCTGAGTTCTTTCTTATCCTACCAAATATTTGCCAATCTGCTTTCCAGACCACTAGAAAACTTGTTTAACCCATGTGTCCCAGGTTTCTGTGAAAAGCAGCCCCTATCCGCTGAAAAAGCAAACTATCTGACCCTTCTGCATTTCCTACACAGGGGTCCACAGGTCAAAACCATTTGAAAAACACTGCATGAACCAGAGGTGCCCATTTAACGCAGCCAGAATGTTCCACAGGAAACCAGAAATGCCCTCATGGAGGCAAGCTCAGCTCTGGTGCTGACCCTTTCCATCTGCTTGCCTGGGTGGCTCCCATCTGAGGCTCTGGGAAAGGCTCTCCTCCACCCACAGCCTAAGACCTTTTTTCTTTTTAATTTTCCTTTTTCTCTCTTTTTTCCAGCGCTGAACTCCTTGACTGGAAGAGCCTTTGCAACAGCAAGTCTCACTTGAGGGACGTAGGCATCTGCTGCACCAACAGATCCAGTCTGTGGGCATGAATGTTTGCCCCAAAGTGCTGCTGGTATCCTTTGACTTCATAGGACAGAGCTAATTTGCCAGGAATTTAAATGCAATCCAGTACTGTGTGAGTCCTCAGCCTCCAGGAGATCCAGACCACGTGATACTTGTAGGTCTCATCCCAAGGCAAATTACTCCTATTTTTCACTTTAGTATCAGGGAAAAGAACTTCAGGGGGAGATTGTCATCTCTGCTTCAAGACTAGTGGGAACACAACAGCTTACACACATGGAAATAACAGGTAAGATCCGTAGATAAAAAGCTGCTTACACCCATTCAGGGGAAAGCACTGAAAACTGCACAGGAAAGCAAACATTCAGGACACTTTGAGAATATCTAACATGTAGTAGAAGGACACAGAGAGATTAGAATGCACACATCAAAATACAGGCTTGACTCAGCCCAACTTGGGGTGCATCAGCTGCATTTTGCCAGGGTCCAGGACGTGATAGATCAGGGTGCCTGGAGCCCTCCCCAGGCAGCTGTGCACACCCTCAGTTCCCTCTCTGTGGCTGGGTTGGTGACTTTACCCTCTCCTCCCCCATAAGTCAGCAGCAATGTGAGAAGAAGCCAAGTCCTGTCTGCAGAGGCATTGCAAAGTTTCAGGTGCATAGCTGGTGGCTGCTCAAGCACCCGTTCCCACCTGCTTCCCCAGGGTGCATCTACACCACGTTTTTGTGCTGGAAGAAACTAGAAGAGCCTCAAGGATACTCTAGATTAGATAAAACAAGAATTTTCAGTCTTGGCTGTAAACTGTCCCCATTCAAAACCAGACTGCTACTCAAGTCTGGTCCAAAACTCCGGGAAGCCTCCTGCTCTCAGCTCCCCAGAGGTGTAGGGAACATTATGGTTGTTGAGTAAAATCTCTGCTAAACCAAAAACCTCCAGAAACACTCTCTTTTAGGAAGTTATTCCACAAAGAGCACTACACAAGAAGGCTGTCTCCAGACATCGGTCTAGCTTGATGGTTGCTCCAGAGACTCTCCAGGTTCTAATGAGGGTTTAAATCACCCCCCTGCCCCCCTCCCTCCACCCTATTCAGGCACAGAAAGAATCTCCTTCCTCTACTCAGCTGCCTGCTTTCATGAAACAAAGGAACATAATGATCTTAAGGTCCTTACCAACCCTAACTATTCTATGATTCTATGTTTCTGAGGCCTAAAATCCTTCTTTCAAATATGGGTTTCAGTGGCCCATGGAGTCAAAGGCTGTTGGAGTGGGAAGTGCAGGCTGACAGCGGGACTGCTAGTCTTGTTTTCTTAGGAACCTATGCTAAAAAATGTCTAAGCAAAACATTTCAACTTCAAAAAAAATAACAGTATCTACTTGGCTATCTATGTGTCACGGAGCTGCAAATAGCTATGGTTGACCTGTGGCTGAATGTATTTGGAGAATAAACACAGTGATTGAAAACTTTCCTCAGATCTAAGAGTAAAACCAGCACCAACCACACAGCACTCAGCCCTCTCTGGGACTAGCCGTTAGTCAAGGGCTGGTACAGCAGCATGAGGAAGGTGGGGAGGGAGCAGAGGGCCATGCAAACACTCTGCATGGATGTTTTTCTCCAAGTGTCCAACACTTTAATGACACTACTCAGTTCAAAGCTTCAATGAAGCTGTGACAACCTGGCCCAAGTGCCTTTGAATACGAATGTGATTGCTAGATGACCAGTAGGATTAGAAAGCCTAGGGAGCATAAAGTGTGAGTCCTGACCAACACACAGCATGGAAACCAGCTGCTCTGCTCCTCTACCAATGCCTCTCTCCTACCCCTACTCTCTACCCAGTGGGAAGGTGACAGTCCCTCCTGATTTGTCTCCCTCAGGGGGAGAAAAATCAGCCCTAAGGCTTTCCATTTTCTCTCACTCTCCTTTCATAAATCCCAAATGGCTTGGGCTTCTCATAGCCCAGAGTGGACCCAGACAGCCCAGACAGTGTGCCCCAGCAGAAGACCTATGCAGGATCTTCTCCTAGAGGCTGCTATGAAGACCCTCATGTAAACAACATCTTGGGAGGGATGATCTACTTTTAAAAGTGTGAGAGGTAGAAATAAGCCACGAGCATGCAGTAGGGACCTGGTACTGTGGCCAGAGCAGTCTCTGCTGGGTGGGGGAGGCCCTGTGCTTCTCTCCCCTGAACTCACCACCCAGACTCCTCCCTAAGATGCTACACCAAGGAGCAACTCACAGAGTGAAAGCCTTAATCCCAAAAGGGGGATTTTGCCAGACAGCAGTGCTCAGCTAAAATCCAAAGGATAAGGGCCATCTTTAAGACCACATTAGTGGTCATCAAAATAATCCTTTTCAGTACCTGGAGTGGGTGAACCTATGACTTCTTGTTCTGAGTGGATGAGGCACCATGGCACTGAAGCAACCAAGGAAGAGAGGTCCTGGGTATGGTGTGACTCCTGAGCTAGTAGGAAGATGGCTGTGACCAAGGCAGAGGAACATGAAAAAATCCAGCCAAAGGTTCTAAGGTCCTGACCAACAATGAAGCTGCTGTGCTAGAAAATACCCACCAACTTCATTTTTAACTGCCTATAAGCCAGCTGACTCCCCACAAAACAATGCAGCCTGTGTACCTTCTGTCCACACCCAGTTCCTGCTGGGCTGTGCATGACACGGAGGAGCACAGGGAGACCTGTGATGTGCATGGTCATCCCAGAACCTTTGAGCAGACTGGGGTTGCCACATCTGCACTGCTTTCCTGCTACCCCTTCAGCAGCACTGGCCACAGATGGACACTGAAGACCAGACTACCATCCAGAGACACCTGGTCCTTACTGTGGGCAAACCACAGCATGGCACAGTGGCATACCTCATACACATATATGCTTGTGCTGTAGCAACTAGAAAGAAACTGCTCACCAGTTCAGTGCTGACCACTGACAGGAGGATTGGGAGCAACATGCATAGAATGAGTTCCCAGCCCTTCCATGCATCCCAACCAGTGACTGCCAAGATACAGCCACGGAACTCCCTCTTCTGGCCGCTGTGTGGCGGCTGAGCTTCCTCAAGTGCTCTGCCATCACTTTCGCCTGGACCTTTGTGTCCCACGGAAATGTCTCTTCCTTGCTTTAAACTGGATGCACTAGGGAAGCAGGTGCAACCCTTCTGTTTCCATTTATTTATACCTGATCCTCTCTTGAAATTTCCTGATCTGCAGAGAGACACCACCAAAAAAGAAGCCTCAATCTCCCAGAAAGCCACAACAATGCTGAACCAAGCCCACCTTGCATGCCTGGCGGTGAGATGGAGAGGAATGCGAACAGGTAAAGAAAATCAGTGGGGTGGACAAACTGCTGTATCCTCCAGTTGCCCCACGTAAACACAATCATTACTTTAGAGCTGTCTGAGGGCCACTCTCAGGATGCTCTATACCATGCCAGGAACTGCTCAGCCCCATAGGGGTTATTCACTCACCTGTAAGGTGAGGCGGTACCCCAGGAGAGATAGTCAGTGGGTCTCGGAGCTGGGCGAGGTACTATGGGCTGCTCCACAGCGGTCACGTCCCCTGAGTAGGATTTGAGCAGAGAGGCGTTCTTGCTGGCCAGCATCGCTCTCTCATTCCGGCGAAACTTGGCTCTCCGGTTCTGGAACCACACCTGTGGTGGGAAGCACAGACACACCAGCCATCACAACCAGCTCTGCTGTGACACTCACTCTTTCACCATACCACCTCTACCCTACTGGGCCAGATGGGACTCTGTAAAAGCATGCTGTTTTGGCATGCCTGTCACTGGAAACTATAATGACAAGACAATCCTTATGTCTGCCCTGATAAAGACCTTACACACGGAACTAGCTCAGTGAGGATACTGTGGGACCAGGGCTGTCCTGTGCTGTAGGCAGCAAGGCCTGGGAGTGCTGTAAAACACATCATGTTCTATGGTTTACCATGATCTTCAGAAGCTGCAGGCTTGCAAGCTAAGAGCTGAGCAGCTCAAGATAATGTGAGCAGCCTGAGCACAGGACATCCAACATCTTGGCCTTGAACACATCCAACAGGGCAGGTGGTAAGTATGGTGGCAGATCAAGCCTGCAGTCCTCCTCAAGGAATGGCATGCTTGGGTCTGCAAGACAGCATGACCCGGAAGCTTGGTGAACCTAGTGTGCCATACAGACCTCAGGGATTTCTACTGCTGTACTGGAATGGCCTGGTAACCCCTCCCCAGGTGAGGTGTGTCTCAACACAAGCTGCGGTGATTACCTGAACTCTGGCTTCAGTGAGATTGACTCTGCGTGCAAGGTCTTCCCGTACAAAGGCATCAGGGTAGTGTGTCCTCTCAAAGACCCTCTCTAATGCCTGGAGCTGGCTGCTGTTGAAGGTAGTCCTGTTTCTCCTCTGCTTTCTTTTCTTCTTCTCTTCTGAGTTCAGCTGATCATCTAGGAGAGACAATTGGAGATGTGAAAGGCTAGAAAATTCAGATCCCACAGCAATGGGGTGAATAACCTCAATGGTTTCAAAGCGAAAAGGACTTAAGATGAGGTTTGCAAAATATCAGCACCACACCTTAATCATGCAATGTTAGTCCTCAAGTAAAAAGGAGGTGGAAAGTACATCAACCCCAAGCATTTATTTCCCAGGATAACTGTGTAAGACTTGTACCAGCTCTTTCAAGCTGCCCCACGCCTCAGATCCCTTATCTCTAAAAAGAAACAAAAGAGTCCAAAATGCATCTTAGCATTCCCAACAACCTTAGAAATATTTTCTAACCATAAGAATCATGAACCCCTGGTCTCTTGCAAATTTCCAAGGACTGCCCTTACTGGGACATAATACAGCTCTCTGGGGCGAGACTGAAGAACAGTTGTGCGTTCTCCATCACACTCTTTGCCTTGCCCAAGCCAGCAAGGTGGCAAACAACAAACTGTGCATCTCGTAAGAGCTCATATTGTTCTGTACCTGATTTCTATTTACTCCAATAATAAATCAGTATATCCACACATATCACTACTACCTGTGCTTACCTACAATCACTGCAGTAACGTCAGTGCTGAGATAACTACAAAATGGCTTTTACTAGCAAATACCTGCTCTGCACCATCTCTCCTTTTTCCAGTACTGTTGCATATCCCAGTGTAGCAGCGGCAATGAAGGTATCAATGAACAGCCACTTGCAGGTACTGGTAAGCAGTGAGATCCAGGGGTCTGAGTGCTCTTTATTAGGGCAGTCTGGAGGCTATGACACTGGTTTTGCTTCTACCCTACTTGTACTGAAGTATGTTCACTCATCACACCAGTCATCCACAGAAAACGCTTCAGTTACCATGGGAAGCTACCCTGAAGGAAGTGGAGAGCAAGGCACCAGCCTGCAGGAGCAGGAGGCCACTGCTGGCTCTGTAAAACAGCCCCATTCAGGCTGCAGGACTAGCATGACATTATTCCCTTGCACTTGTCCCTCTTCAAATGCTCCAGTGTGTGGGGTCCCACCAAACCATCAAGGCTTCTTGCGCTCCTGCAGCCCCAGCTGTCAATGCTCCCAAGCACACTGGGCAGAGCCCCAGCTGGGCAATGTCAGCATGGTCCCACTGCCCTACGTGGCAGAACAGTAGTTACACCTGGGAGGGTCTGACACAATATATATGCCAGGATGTATTAAATTTCATCAATCATTGTATCTAACAATGCATATGCCAGTGCATTGTATTTTGAGTTAATCACTGCACACCTTGGCCCAGGTGACAACCTCACCACTGAGAGTCCAAGGGCTTGACCTGCTATATACAGTTGCAGAATGTCCCCTCAATAGTCATTTCTTTTGCCATATACAAAAATGACAGCTCCCTTCATTCTCCTGTTCTCCGGGGGTATGTAAGGCACAGGGAGAAGCTGACAAGGAAATTAAAGTCTGTGGTTGTTGTCCTCACCACCTGTTTGTGCTGCTTTTCACAGCCCATCTGGTAACAGTTAGGGCACCTGAAGGCCTTTGGAGCAAGGCCCATCCATTTAGGAACAAAAGGACATTCCTATTAAATTAAAGTAGGTTTTTCAAATTCCTGCAGGTTTACAGCTCCTCTGTTCCCAGTCCTTCTCCAACAGTCTAAAGATCCCCAGAAGACTCTTTTTCAGCCTGGGGATTCCTGGGTGCAAAAATACAACCTCGTTTTTCTTGTATCTGAGAACAAGTATTTGGAGACCAGTTTTTAACAGCATGTTGAATTGTAAAGCTGAGCTGGGAGGGAACTGGTAGAGGCAGGAATGCACAAAAAAAAAACAACCCTGAATGTGCATGGGAGTACCAGGACATTAAAATAAGGCTACAGGTGACTCTATCCTCCTCAGGTGGTGGGAAGCAAAGCGGTGAAGCAGAGGGATGGGATTTAACCGTTGCTTGTGCAGAACACCATGCATGCATTTCTACATGGTAGGGGTTTTAGCACTGTCAAAGGGACTGTCCCTTATAAAGAAGCAGAGAAGTCCTGCACATTCTTCTCTTGGCTCATCATCAAAGCCTTTACAAAAAAGGTCAGCGATTTTCCTCTGGTTCTACTGGACAACTTTGACACAGTTGTGCCACTTCGCACTACACAATACAGCAAACAGCAAAGAATGAACCTCAGGGCATGATCATCCCTCTGAATGGCAGAAACATTACCAGACCTTACGGCCACAGAGGCCAATGTCAACATGGGTGTCTGGCCTCCTGAGTTATCCATTTGATGCTGTTTTATGATCTAAACCCTGCCTATATGGACTGGATGAACAAATCAATAAAAGCTTTTGGGACCCCTAGGGAAACCCCGCCAGGCCTTTGAAGAGGACGCCTGGCTGGAGGGAGCCCAAGACCAAGGCAGTCTGGCCATTGCTCAGATCCTGTGTGACAGTCACACATGAAGAAGGGTGAGCACATCACTCTGGGGAGCAAGAAGAAGGGCCAAAGCCTGTAAAACACTGGAGAGCAAGAATCCCTCTTGCCAAGCACGTTAACACAATTTGCCTGGTTTCCTCCCAGCGTACAGCGAGACACTGGTGATTCACAGCTCACCTCGTAATTACAGGACCCAAAAATAGTAGGGCAAAGAAACGGAAAGTTGCAGGCAGCGGCTGCATTGCAGTGACTCACAGTTGGGTCACTGTTGGCTAATGCACCTCCGGCATTGGCTGGTGTGGAGCAGGGATATGAATCACCCCCTTTTTTTAACAGGATGTAGCTGGACAGAGGTTGTTCGACAGCAAAGCACAACCTGTTGACAGGGGGGTTGGGATTTTGAGGTCTCCTTTCACCAAACCTCTGAAACATCACAATGGAGCTAGATCCAAATGTCTACAGAAGTTACATGGATCACAGGAAAAAAATAGTAATAGCCATATTAGCCCAGAGTGCTGCTGGGATGATCATTCCTTGCGTTTTGCCATGCAGACATGCCATATGTTGATTACAAACTGCTAACTAGGGATTGCAGACACCTAAACCCCAGATGTCTGCCAATGTCACCTTACTCATAGTCACTGGCTGCCTTCAACATGTCAGCGGGGTATTTTGTTTTTTCCCCTGTCATTATTTCTTTATCAGGAAACAATGCTGAACACTGAAAAATGGTATTCCTAAACAGTGTTGACAGCACTAGTGACTGGAGTCAGCAGAAATGGAGAGAAGAGGAAAACAGCACTAAAACATTTTAGGTAGGTCAGAAGTCTTTCACCAACATTCTTTTAATCAGAAATATTTTATTACAAGCAGCGTTCTCAAAAGTTGAGCTGCCTGCAAATGCATCCCCCGGAGGGATCTAAAAGCACGCTCTTCTCTCAGGAACGTGATGTTGGAAAATGTGGGAATTTAATTTCAAAATCCCAACCTTTCATGTTGGAGTGGGGATTTTGTTTCCTGTTTCCACATTTGTGTTTTCCTGTGTTATTTCTAAATTCACCCGTGACATTCAAATCCTGGCATCGTACACAAACACACTTCTAGGATGCACCAAAGCATTTTCAATTGCTCTTAAATGATACAGTATGAAACACCCTGTTCTTTTTTCTATTGCTCATCACGCCTCCTCTTGCAACGAGGCAGATCCACACTTGAAGACGTTCTGATCCATGCTTCTTATTGCACAGCGGCTGTCCTAGTGTCTGTGACTATCACTGACGTACAATCAGATGGCTCCTGTTGGGATGCCACATTGAAAATTATATGCATTATAAAACAAAGCAGAGTTCGGAACTAAATGCCTACCTATATGTTACAAGATCAGTAATTTTTCCCACCAATATTTGCAACCACAACATATCTTGGATTTCCAGTTTGCAGGAATGCTCACGCATACTTGCTTTCATTCCAGGTCAGAACAAAAACTAATTTCCAGATGGGAATTACTGTGTGGGCAGTTTCGAAAAGTCTTGACAAGTTCTATTATGTCCAGAACCACCTATTATAATACATTAACTGGATATGAATTGAAAGTAAACAATTGGATTCAATTAAGTGAAAGACTGAGACGCTTAACCACAATATCATATACAGTAAGGCAGGAAAGATTTGTCACACCAGTTATATAAACTGTAAACTGAGAAAGGATTCCAGGAATAAAATATGGAATCACATTATCATCAGAGCATTCCAAATAAGAATTTACAGCAAAAGTTTGAACACAGATTAAAGAAAAAAACAAGACAAATTATTTCACAGGGAAAAAAATAATCTAGAAACTAAAACCACAGCAAATAAAATCTATTAAAAAAAAATAATAAAATCCTGCAAGCCCAAAACCAAAAAGGAAGTTTTATTCAGAGTGGCAAAGAAAGGAAGAAGGAGAATGAAAGGGAGAGGAACAGGGTTTTTATTTGGTTTAAAATTAAATTTTAAGATGCTCGAGTAGAAATACTTCCACAGTTCGCCCCCGGCTCCCAGCAGACTCCTCTCCCCAACGTCAGCTTTCCAGGCAGTTACGGCCCTTTGCAGGCTCATGCTCTAGTTTTATTCGCGATCTGCTTTGCTTTCGATTCATTATATATATCTTATATTACCTCCAAAATATTGCAACTCTGTGAGTGCAGGGCAGCTTTGCCAACTTAAAGCAATTGAAAAACCAAACCCCAGATCTGAAAGGTGTAATGAAAGCTAAAACAAGGCACCAGAAAAGGGAGTGGGAAGCAGGAATGGGAACATTTAAAAGCTGCTTGATGACAAAGCCTTGTCCTAACTGCTTTAAGAACAGTCTCAAGTGATTTTCCACTCATGGAGGATGCTGGAGATGAGCAGCGTGCCACAGAGCAGGGCTGCCCAGGCAGGGGTTCCCACCACCATCACTTGTGTGAAGACGAGATCATACCCTTCTAAAAATCTGACAGCAGCACTGCTCAGCGCCAAGCTCTGCCAGAGCAAGTTTCACCCTAAACAAAATAATCTCAACCTGAAAAGCCACTTTCCAGCCTGAAAACATCA